TGCACTATTTTTCTGTTGTCATGGTTCCTCACCACACCTCAGTGTGCTTCCCTCCCATACTGCAGCAAGGAGGACCACAAGCAGACACACCTGGTCCATTTCCCCCTCTGCTTGTTTGTGCAGGGTCTCTGTAAATCCCAGCTTGGTTTGTTTATAAGTCTCTCCATGTGGAGAGAGTCTGTGTCCAGGCTGGAAGGAGGTCAGAGTTGGATTTGTTTGGGTGGCCTGTGGCCACTGGTGTGAATGGAGGTGCTGGACAGGTTCCAGCAGGCTCACAGGCTGGTGAGCTCTGGGGCTAGGAGACACCTTACAGAAGGGATGTCCAGACTCCCCAGAGCCCTTTGTGAGCCCTCCTCCTGCCCTGCTCAGGACCTGTGGGTCATAGTGGTTGTTTGCCAATCTCCTTAGCAAAAGAAAGGAGCAGGGCTGAAGAGTAGGCAGATTACTACCAGCTTCTGATCACTAGTCAGAAGGGGACACCCCTGAGGTCAGTCCCCTGGCAGGGGGAGGCAGGGCAAGTTGGGGTGTGTATGGGGAGAAAACTCACTAGAAAATTGTGGTCCCTCAGAATTCAGTCTGCTTTCTGTCTTCTGCCTCAGCCTCTCCCCAAGGGCCACCATGTTGTACAGCCGCAGGGGAGCTATTCCATATACTATGATGTGAATGGCACCCTCTGGGGTTGTTCAAGTCAGCATGGCTGTGTAGCCAAATGTGGTGCATCTGTCCCCGACCTTCTTCCCTCAAATTCAGACCCAGCTGGAAGGAAGTGTTCCAGATATGTCTTAGTCTGACACCCTCTTCCCTACCCTACCTCATGCCACTCAACATCTGTTCTTCTGCTGCCCACCCCCAACCTACCAAGTAGGTCTTGGCACACCACCAGTTGTGGAGCACGTAGTTTCTCTTCACTTAGTTTCTGTGTCCCTGGGGGGCTGATTTATCATGCCCCCCATCACTATTGTGAGAAATCAATAGTGCAAATGGATTAAGGCTGTTCAGCCTGTCAACTCCCCTTGGGCCCCACCAACTCTTCTGGGACTTGTGGAGTTGCTCAGTCCCCTTACAGCTCAGCATACACATATTTAGTGGTTGTAGCCAGAGCACTGAGCACAGGAATTACTTTTTCTGTTCATTTCTTTCTCATTCTCTCTCATATACTGGGCTGGTCTTAGCATGACAAATACTCTTGAACATTTATTTTCTAGCTTGGGTGGAGGGGCTTAAAGGGCAGTAGGCTGCCACCCAGAGGTGGGGAGGGAGGCCAGTGGGTGAGGGAGAGATGGTGGGTGGGGGGGGTGGGGCAGTGGTGGGGACTAGCTGGGAAAGGGATTAGGTGACAGCCCACCCTATCACCTCTGGTAACTCAATCCCTGTACCCCACCCTCCTGATTTCCCTCCTGCTCAACAGCTTCAGCAGCTGCTGGCAGAAGCAAGGTTGGCAGAAGTGTGTATGAGTGCATGTGTGTATGGGGGAGAGGGGGAGAGGGGTTGTGGGGGCAGGGAGTACTGCTAGGACATGTTAAAGGAGACTCACAGCCTGGGTACAACTTGGGTGGCAGGAGGAGGTGGGGCTGGTGGGAGAGTGGGTGGTGAGTGATAGGCAGGTTGTAGTGGGGGCAGGGAAGCCCAGGGGTCTCACAAAACTTGTTGGCACTGAAACATGGCCTGGTGTGGTGGGGGTGGGCAGTGGTGAGGGGGTAGGGGCTGGCACAGCCATTGTTGGCCCCAGAATGCCAGGAGGCCCGTTCTTCACCAGGGGTGCATGTAACCATGGAGGGACAGTCTGCCCCTGTCTCCAATCCCTGGGCTGTGCCTGCTGGGCATCACAGTCTCAGTGGTGACTAAGTCACTTCTGTCCTGGGGCTGGCAAGGTGCCAGGCTCCACTCTTCTCGGTAGGTGAGTCACTGCCCTGGCATCTCCCCCGGATGAAGCTGAGTCACCCAGCCATGCCTGCTAGGCAGCACCAAACTTGCGGTGGGGGTGGAGGGCTATGTGTGCAGCCCCCAATGTCTTCTCTGCTCTCTCTCTGGCATGTCCTGGCCCCACCCATAAACCTGCAGAGCCAGGCAAGGATGTCGCTTCTCCCTTGTGATCCATTGAGGAGTGAAGGAAGGGGTAGCAGGGCACAGAGTGGCATGATACATGTTTGATTGGAGTAAATAGCAGTGGGGAGAGTTGAGGGAACATTGTGTTTTTTATATATATATGGATTTATTATATATATAATATATAATTTTATATATAATTATATATACATATATATTATTTTAACAAAAAAGAGAGGGTCTTGCTATGTTGCCCAGGCTGGTCTTAAACTCCTGGACTCAAGCAATTGTTCTACCTTAGCCTCCCAAAGTGCTAGGATTAAAGGTGTGAGCCACCATACCTGGCCTGGGTTTGAGTCCCAGCCCTGCCACTGACAAGCTGTATGACCTTGAGGAAGGCAATTTTCTTTTTGAGCCTCAGTTTTCTCATTGTGCAATGGCAACAGGAGCCTGCCCCTTTAGGACCTGTGAGAATGAAATGGAGTGGGACTGTTAAGGTACTCGCGGGAGGAGCTCCTTTTGGGATGAGCAAGGAGGCTTGGGAAGGGAAGAGGAGTCAGCTGGAGCTGGTTCCAACACAAAACTCCCACACGATCCTGGTGGTCTTGGAGGGCCAGTTGCTTGTCATCTTCTCTTTAGACTATCACTTAATGCTGTTCTTTAGGAGTTCCCACAGGCTGTGAGAGGACAGCCTTGTACTAGAAGTCTGGGCCCCCCTAGGATGTCTCAAAGCTATATTTTATCTCTTTTTGACTACCGAGAACTGTCACCAGCCCTGCTACCTGTCCAGACTCTCTTCTCTTCTAGTTTGAAGAGGGATCCTTGTTTTGGGAAATCAGTGGCTCAGGCTCCTCCCCTAGCCTATCTCCCAGTACACAGAACTGGTAGGCCCCAAGGAGCATCCTTCCTAAAGAGTGAGGTACCCCTGAGCCTGTGACTTTTCTCTCTCTGCTAGTTTCCTGCTGCTTCTTGGGTACTCTTCTCTCCTCCTGCATCAGGGTCTCTGGTGGAAGGGGTTGGCGGGAGCCCTATTATGAGCCCAGCACAGCTGGAATTCAGCTGCTGCTGCAGATTGAAGACTCCTGGTTCCCCACCTGGGGACCTCTCCTGCTTTCTGCAGTCAAGTTTGGGTAGAGCTGGACCTTGGACAGGTGGTACTGGTTGCCCTGGACAGGAAGGAAATGCCCCAAAGATGTGCATTCTATGTGTTTGTACACATGGGTGCTGGTCTTGTGTGAGTGACCCCTGTGGGGTGTGGGTTTGTGTGTATAAATTTCTTCCCTCATCCACGCATGGGCCTACTTCTGTGTCTGTGCAGAAGTGTGCCCCTTCTGCTTCATGCCCTCATCTGGGCACAAATTGTGTTTGGATGTACTTGTTCATGTGTCGATGTGCATACATGTGTCTTGGGGTTGTACACAACGCTGTCCTGAATGTACATGTGCATTTGTACCAGGATGCCTGACCCTATGATGGCAGGTGTACCTGAAGGTCGTGCCACGTGAGAGGCAGTGCAGCTATGTGCATGCATGCTTGCATTCTTGTGTCCATGAGCCTTCCCCTCTAGCCTCAAGGAAGGAAGACCGGTAGAATCTAGGTTGGGAGGTGCCTGTGGGCACTGGGGGTGGGCTGGCGCTGACTTCAGTCCTGGGCTGGTTCCTCACCTGGGCAGAGCTCCCAGCTGTTGGTAGGGCTCGGGCTGAAGGCCCTTGGGGGAGCGCGGCTGTGGGGTAAGGGGTTAAGCGGTGGCGTCCACATCTGGGAGCCATTGGTGCATTCCTGCTGGCTGAGCGCATGTTTGCGGATGAATCTGGACAGGACTGGGCGGGAGGGGCTGGGCGCGAGGTTCGCACCGGCGGACGGAAATCCAGACGGGAGCGGGAGACAGCTCCGGCCCAGTGGCGGGAAGGGGCCTGAGGAAGCGCGGTCCCGCACAGCCGGGGCAGTTCCCCGTGCGCCAGCCCTCAGGGCAGAGCGTCCCGCCATCCTGGCTTGTCCTACCTTATTATGGCTCTTGGGCTAGAGCCAGGGACAGACAATCAGATACTTCGATTCTAGACCCGGCTCTGCAACCGGTGGGCTGTGGACAAAACGCTGTGCCTGCTCTTGGCCTCTCTTTCCTCATCTGTAAAGCGGGGCCGTCGGATCAGTGGGTCTGAGAGCTCTGCCACAGGGTCAGGCTGAGAGTCTTCTCACTGGGCTAGAGGCCTGGGAGTGCAGCACTTCCCCTTCCAGCGGGAAGTCCTGTGGGGGCACTTGTGGCCACTTCTCTGCCTGGGAACAGGGGAGAGGGGAGTATTCCCTAAGCGACTTTGCTTCCCCTAAGCCCGCCAGTGGACTGCTAGCGAGGGGGACAGGATCCTCCCATACAGAGCAGCAGTCTGGGAGGAGGGTCATGGCTGTGTTGGAGACTGGGGTCTCTCAGATGGATGGCGATTCAGATCCTGTCCAGCTGGAATATGAACAAGAGCGTCCCTGGCTTCTCCAGACTTGCTCGAGAGAAAGAAGCTGGAGTCTGTCTTTGAGCACGGAGGGGTGCTCCTGGGCGCCCCTACTGGAAGATCCAAAAGTCTTTGCCCTTTGAGGAGAAGTATACCTTAAGGCGGGTGGAGGGGTTGGGTTGGGCCAGAGTTCCTAGTACCCACTGGAGCTGGAGAGTTATTTGGGGAAAGAAATGTACTTGCTGGAGATCTACTCCTGGATTTTTTTTTTTTTTTTTTTTGCAGCTGAGATAATTAAGATCCAGGGAAGGGAAGTGACTTGGTCAAGGTCACACAGCTTTCAGTTCCAGCTGGTCCCTAGAAGAGGATTATAATTATAGGATTCAGGGGCTTGACAGCTAGGGCAGGAGTCACCGCACTCACTTCCATGTTCTGCCGCCGCCTCTCTTCTCGGGTTTAGGTGTGGGAGTGTGTGTGGTCTCGGGGGAAAGGAGTAGAGGATACCACACGCTGCGGTCTTCACCGAGCGCTGTTTTCATTTTTTCCGCAGAACATCATACCCTCCTCGCTCTGAATTTTCGGTTCGGGTCTGAGGGAGGGATTCTCCCAGATTACCATGGTCCAGCCTTCTGCTAGAACCGGCTCCTTTAAGACTCGCCCTTCCCGGGGTCTGTTAAGGAGAGGTGGGGGCGGGGGGTGGTGGTGGTGATCCTGTAGACCCGCCCCTGACTGATGATTGGTCGGTGGGCGGGCAGGGGCGGGCCTGAGGGAGAGGGCCTTCCCCCACCTCTGCTCCGTACCCTCCGCCCCTACAGTCTGGGGCTCCGGGTAAAGTTTCAGCCTCCGCACGTGACTCGCCATGGCCGCTGCCGTCGCCCCGCGCCCCTGAGCGGCGGCCCCCCGGACGGCTTCTCTCCCGGGACCCCGCACCCTAATGCCGAACAGCACCAGGGCGCCGGGTTAGGGCAGACGTTGTGCTCGCGGGCACCCCGAACGGGTTGCGTCCCCCGGCTGCGAGGTAACCCCTCCCCCGGGGATTTTGGGGAGCCCCTGGTTCCCGCAGGCGTCGGGGCCCCATGTCCTGCCCAGATAAGCGCTACGGGAGGGGACTGGGTGCCGGGAGGTTTCCGACGGGAACCCGGGGTTTCCTGGGCTTCCCAACTCGCTGCCGCCTTGTCCAGGGTGGGGGAGCCCCGTCTGTGCGTCTGCCTGCGCCGTGTCTTCGCGCGCAGCCTTGAGGCGTCTGTCTGCGTGTGTCCCCGGCGCTCGAGCCCTTGCAGAACTGCCGCCGGGAACTCCTGCTCTCTCTTTTTCTCTTCAAAAACAAGCACAACAAAAATACTTTCAAACCTGTTTGGGGAGAGATCGGATGCTTAACGGACTAGCCCCCTCCCTTTTTCCCTCCTGTTATCTGAGCTGCCCTGTGGTTTGGGGAGAATCAGTCAGGGGGCCCACCCCCACCATAGGGAGCCGGCCAGGGGCGGGGCCCGCTCAGCTGGTGTTCCCCGTGGAGTGAGGGGAGCTGTCAGAACTGGGTGCAGGAGCCAATGCAGTATGTATGTAGGGGTGTCCCTGGGGTCTTGTGCGACCATGGGGTGTGGGAGCTTTTTGGGTTGAGGGGAAGACAGAATAGACGGGTCGACTTTGCTCTGCTGAGGGTGTCTGGGACCTGGTGCCACCCACGAGGCTTGGAAGCTGCTGGCCAGATGTGTGTGTGCTCGCCTGTTGTGTGGTTGTGGGGGAGCTGGGAAATGAGCTTGGCTGTGTCCCCTCTTCTCCTCTCTGGGCACTGCCCTATTGTCAGTCTGCTCCTTGTGAAGGACAGGCCTCCAGTGTGCTAGGGTAGGGATGGGGACCAACTAATCCAGAAACCAGACAGGAGAGCTCCCCAGCCTTGGAGATGTTTCTGCACCCTCCATCCTGTCTTGGATAGGATGCCCAATGTGGTGGCCTGGAAGGGTACCTCCTCCCCACTCTGGCTCTGTCTTCTGTAACCATGTTGCCTTCTGTCTGCTGGCTGTGTGAACATGTGTATATATTCTTGGAAAGGATTGTTTCTGAAAACACCCCCCACCCCCACCCCCTGATGCTTAACCAAGGATCACTTCTGCCTCTGACACTCCCCCTCCTCAGTTTCCTGGCCAGGACATTCCCGGTTGTCTCTTATACCCTTCCCTGGCTGCAGTCTTCATAGGGCAAGATTGTTTTGGGGAAGTGGTTCTGTAAGGACCTCTCAGGTCTTGCTAGGAAATTGGACCTCAGGCCCCAAAGTCTCCTACAGGGCTTGATGGAGGAGGCTGTGCCAGGGAAGCCCCAGGTTGGAGTGGGGGTGGCTTGGAGCCTTGGGGCTTCCCCTGGGGGGTGGGTGGGGATGAGGCTGGGGGAAGAAACAAGAGAAAAAATATTTGGAGTTGGTTGTGTGATGCTTCTTCCTGGAGGAAGAAGAGGAGGTGGTTATGGAGTCAGAGAGTTTGTGGCTGTGAAAGATGGTATGCTGGGAGGAGCTGGGACATCAGTACTGCCTGGGAGTCAGGGCCATGTGGTGTCCTGAAAGAGAAGTCAGTAGGGTCAGACTGGAGTAGCCTCTTGGGAGCTGAGGATCTTGGATTTGCAGGGATTTTGAGGGTGTGAGTGAGTGTACATGAGGTGTCACTGCAGGGGTTTCACCATCAGACTGGTGATGGTGACACAGATGCAGTGGCAGTTCTGAGAAGATCCTGGGCTTGGAATGGCTTGATCCTGGCCACCTCCTCCTTCCTATAGCCCCTAAATCTCTATCCCTTCAGTCTGACCCTAAATGCTCTGGCTGCCACCCTGGTACACCTTTTTAGTTTCCTTCCTACTCCCAACTTTAAGGCAGCCTGGCAGGAAGCTAGCTGCGAGCAGCCCCATCCTGATCGCCCATGTGCCTCCCCAACTGGGTATAGTCACCCACACGTGCCATGACGTGGTTCCTGCCACCCCATCTAAATATGGGGGAGAGGACATTGAGTTCTTAGTGGCCTCTCGAGTCTGTTTTGGGGACATTCACCCAGACCCCTGCTAATGATTTCCCCTTCTCCTAACCCATTTAATCTTGGAAGCTGACTCTGCCCTCTGGGACCTTTCCCTGCAGTCCACTCCTTGCTCAGACTCCAGTCTCAGGTGGGATGGTCCTTAGAACCATGTGATATGAGGATGGGGCCTGCCCCAAAATACAAACCCCAATGCCTAGTTTCCAATCCTCTTGGAAGCATGAGCAGGACAGGACTTAGGCTGGTCTGGAGGGGTAGCTATGATTTTGCCTCTGTGGGGTCTAATAATATTTGGGAGCCTTGCCTGGGATCTGGGGTGATGGGCATCTGGGGATGGTAATCCTGTCCCTGTGACGAATAAGCAGGGTAAGCTCCACTTGCTCAGCACCCCACACCCATCTTGTGTCAGTAGTTTTGGGAGTCTGGGAAGCTGGCAGGGCCCCTGGCAAGATGACCAGGGTTGTCTTGACTTACTATGTTTTGGGACAGGAGTATGGCAACTGATACCCCAGCTCCCAAGGCTTTGGCGGCACATTCTCTCTCTGACGCCTGCTGTCTTTCCTCCCTCTACTCCCCTCTCCACCCTCTGGCTGCTGTCTGGAGCCCACACGGTTTGTGGGGGTATGCGTGGTGGGGGGCAGGGCCTGGATCTTCGTGTGTGTCCGGGGAGTATTCTGGGAATTGGCAGGATTGGCCGAGGTTGTTTGGGTGTCCCCGCAGGGTGGGCGGCATGTGGGGACCTGGCCTAGTGTGAGAATGTGTCAGCGTTGGTGTGTCTGTCCCCAGTCTGGCTCGGGTGTGGGTGTCTCGGGTGTGGGTGTCTCTTGCTTCGTCTGGATCTTGCCTCCCGCTCCAGTCCTGCCCTCCCCTCGCTCCCCGCTAGCTGGGACCGCCTGCTTGCTCTCCCTCTCTCCCCACAACTGGAGCCTCCCTTGCCTGTTCCTGGAATTTGGAGAGGAGGAGGAGGAGGAAGAGGCAGGCAGACAGACCTCCCACACTCTAGCCCGCCCACCTGGCATCATGGGGAAATGAAATAGGTGCTATGGAACTAAGTTTTCTCTGGCTTCCCTAGACCCTTCAGCACACATCATGTGGGCCAGGGGCCAGCTCTTACAGAAGGGCCATGGGCTGCCCACCCCTCTGGGCAGTGACACCTCCTTCTACTTAACATCCTGCCACAAAGGGCCCCTGCTGGACCTCCAGGCACCACAGTCAGCCTGGGGAGCCGGTGGGGGGATTAGGCTGCTGCCAGGCTGGCCCGCACCTGTTGCCAACCCCAGCCCTATAACTGGAGCTTGCTAGGGAGGGGGCTGCAGAATGACAGGTGTAATTTCTGCAGCTAGGCAACTCCACCCCCCCAACTGGATATGCCTTTCCCTTTTGCCGGAACAAGGAAAGCCTTCCCCTTCACCACCCAAGTGTCAACCTGATCTCATGGATGATGCCCCTGTCCTGCCTGATGACCCCCACCCCCATCCCTGGCTGCAGAGCTGGGCTGCCCTCCTTCAAGTTTTCAGAGCTCTGCTGCCCTGGCAGGGCTGGGGGTGTGGGGGTGTGTGGATGGGGGTGGTTCTCTGTTAATGTTTTAATTGCCTAAAAACTGGGAGCTCAGCTCTGGGCCAGTGGGGAGTCTGGGTCTGGCTGGCCGCCCGGTTTGGGCTAAATATAGTCTGGGACATCTGCAGAGAAGGGGAGGGGGGTGGAGGGAGGTTCCATTCCCCCACCTCCAGCCAAGGTGCCCTCGTCTGGGCGGGCACCTTGGAGCAGTGAGGGGGATTCCTTAGCACAAAAGGCAGGGGAGAGGTGCCAGGGGAGAGGCAGCAGGGGCTGGGCATAGTTGGGACCTTGCTCTCTGGAGGCCAGTCGATGCCTGAGACGAACCTGGAGGCTCAGGACAGGGCAAGAGTGGGGCACACCAGGGCTGGGTCCTCTGGCTGTTTCCTCTCCCCCCAGAGTTACTGAGGTCAGGAAGTCTTCATGTGTCACTGCGACCTGCAGGCAGTATCACCATGACCCACTCTCTGTGTGTCTGTATGTACACACCTACCTTGGAGTGGCTTTATCCTGGCCCTCTCACTGAAGCCTCTGTCCCCTGGGTCCTACCGCAGGTCCTCAGCTCTCCTTCTCTGTCCCTCGCCCCACAGTGAAACCTTCAGCCCAGGAATCGAGACTTGAGAAGGGGAAGCTGCGGTGGAGAGTTCTCTGATCTCCAGTCACGGCAGGAAGTGGAGAAGAGGGGGGTTAAGGGGGGGACCCATGAGTGGCAGGCAGAGAGGGAGAGCCCTGTCAGTCCCGCGACCCACTGTGCAGGGCAAGGAGGGGTTGGCCCCCCTCCTAGTGGTCCCCCTTCCCTCCAGCTCCAGGTGGGAGAAACCTGGGGGACAGCTGATTCCCCAGGGGCTGCAAACAATCTTCATCACCCCCCACAACACTAAGGAAAAAAAAGTCTTCCTGTCACGTGGCTGTCACTTCCTGTCCCACTGTGGTTCCTGGGATGTTTGTTGTTGGTTGCCATGGTGATATCTGCCGTGGGCACTACTGCTGGTTCTTGTGGGGAAGGAGCTACCCCTCCCCACCAGGCTGCAGGGGTACTTGAGGAACTTGACTAGGGGGTCCTTTCAGGCTGAATGTGTGTGGTCTCTGATGCCCCAGATTCTCCAAGACCCCCCAGACTTCTGGCTGTGCCTAACTGTGGCTGTGACTGTGTGAGTCTAACTGATTTTGCAGCCCTTGTCCCCTCTAACCGGGTTTCTTCTTGCTCATAGAGATGCCCATTCAGGGAAGCTCTGTGCTCCCTATCTGTCCTCATATGTGGTTCTCAAGCTTGATCCTATCCTGTGTTCTGATGGAAACCACGTTCCCCAGGGAGTGCCCGTGGCTTCCTGGGATCCAGGCTGCAGTGTCGAGGAGCTCTGGGGCAGAGTCCCAGGTTGTGTGTGTTTGGGGCTGGGGAGGTGGGGGCTCTGCAGACCATGCCTTTCCCTACACACACAGCTTGCACCCACTTCTCCCTTGTCCAGCAGGCCCTATTCTCTAAGGGGAAGGCCATGGGCCTCTGTGACCTATTATCTCTATCCCCTTATAGGCTTTCCTGTTCAGCTGGGGATGGAGAGGGGAAGAGATTCCCCCTAGTTCTAGCCCCAACTGAGTAGGCAGGTATGGAGTAGGAAGTTGCTGGGGGGTCAGTGGGTGGAGGGGGGCATGGGGCAGGGCACAGTCTGACTCAGGCCTAGTCTGGGGTCAGAGCCAAAAGGATATCCTGAGGCAGGACTTGGGGGGGTTGTATTCCTGGATTCCCTGCAGTGTGGGTCCCCAGGGTGGGATGCTGGGAGGGGGCTGGTACCATCTAGTCCTGCTGGCAGTTTGCCCTGGGACTTAGAATATGGCAGTTGCAGGGTTGGGCTGAGCTGAGGAAAGGGGTGGGGGTTGCTGCAGCCTGTCTCCCCACCCTGGCCCTGCCTGTTTCTCTGTGAGCTGTCCCCACATTGTGAGAGAGCTGTGCTTCCTGCTTGGTAGCGTGAAGGGGAGGTAGTGGTGAGGGGACAGCTGCCAAGGTAAGGGTGGGGAAAGCCCCGTGCCAGGCTGGATATGAGGTCGGTGGTTTCCAAGCTAGGGGGTCCCCTTTTGTCTGTGCCCCTTTGGTCTCTCACCTGACAGAACTGCCTGTGTATGGTCCACACATTTCTGTGGTCTGGCTGTGGCCTCAGTAGGCTCATCTCTTCCTCTTCCCATTTTTGTTTTTTTTTTCCTTCCCTGTGGGTTGGTCCCTCTCCTTGAGGCCTGAATTACCCCCTGCCCTTTGACCTACTTGCTTCTTGGAGTAGGGAGGCTTCAGTTCTGGTTCTAGGTGGACCTCTCAGCCACCCTGGGCTTTAGAAGTCCTAAGCATGTCCCCTGGGGGATCTGGAGTATGGCCCCTGGGGATGGAGGAGTTGGGAGCACTGCCCTGATCAGCAGAGACCCCCACTTCCTCCTCCTAGAACCTCAGGGACTGCCCTGAGCTTGGGTTGTCCAGTCGCCCTTTCTGCTTGGTATCCAGTCACTGCTGAGATTATGGCGTGTGGGGGTCCTCTAGCTCTGCGTAGCTGGGGAAGAACCCTGGGCTGAGTGGAGTACAAGTTGTGGAGACACTGAACCTATTCTTTTGGGACAAGGCACTGTGTCTTGAGGCAGTGGGCAGTAGTAGCACCCGGAGGTGAGACACTAGACTTCCTCCTTCTCCTAGCTCCCAGGAGGACATGCTTATGGCAGATTTTCAAACCAGTCCTAGTTCTAGCAAGGCTAGCCCCAGGTTCTGTGGGGTTGGTGGGGAAGAGGTGCCCTTCAACTATCTCAGCTACCCCCAGATGATCCTTCTCAAGCCCTCCTAGGGTAGCCTCTTTTAAAATGAGGCTGGGCTAACCTGGCTTCCTGCAGTCCAGACCCTGGTGAACAGACAGGAAACAGAGGATCCAAGTGGCTGGGTTGCTGGCTTGCCAGGGAGGAGAGGAGTGTGAGCCTAGGCCAGAGGGGACCCTTGAACAAGTAGGGAGGAGTCATGGCTGCTCCCTAACCCCTGTCTGCTGATATGAGGAGCGTGGGGGAGGGGAGAGGTTGTTGTTTTGTACCTATGGGAGTGTGTTTTCCTGGAAAGTCTGTAAATGGTTCTAGTTTAGAATCTGGCCTGTTCTGCCTTGCTTGGCCAGCTTCTGGCAGGATAGGGGTCCAAAGGCGGTAGGGCTTTTTTTCTGCCAAGGCTAGAGTCCCTCCTGCGCAAGCTGAACTTGAGCTCTGGGTGTCATTTGCATATGATTCACTAACTGTCTAGAATGCTTAGGAAACCCCCAGTTTCCCCTTCTTTTAAGCTCCCCAATCCTTTTCCCCTTCTCTCAGCCCCTCTGAGACTGCCTGACTTCTATTTCTTGGGAACCATTGTTTCCGGGGAGCCTGGAGAGCAGAGAGAATTGAATGAGGAAGGGAGGCTGGGCCCAGGCCAGGCTGAGTTTGGGGTCCCCTGCTCCTCTCTCCTGAGTACAGGAGAGGAAATGGTCTATTTCTCTTCCCCTTCTCCCCTCCCCAAATCCAAAGGTTTCCCTTTTTTGGTTTGTGAAATGAAAGAAGGGAATTTGGGAAAGGGTTGTGGTCAGGCCTCCACCCACACCCTGAATATCCCTTTCCCCACATCCCTCTCCTCTTTCTGAGGGGAAGCAGACCCTGGGAAATGGGTAATTCTCCCTCCTGGCCCTGTCAACAGATGTTGCCCTGGGTGGGGTGAGGCAAGGGAAAGCAGGGTGACTGCTGAGGTGCACCAAGGTGCTGGCAAGAGGTGTGGGGATGGAGGGCTTCAGTTGCCCGGCGCCTCCCCTGTGCCAACCTCTGGGCTGGGTGCTTTCCAGGACTTCCTGTCTGAAATCGCACAACCCGTTGTTGAGGTAGGCAGTTCACAGGTGAGTAAACAGATGCTTAGAGAGGTTAAGTGTCTTGTGTAAGGTCACCCAGAGTGGCAGAGCTGAGATTTGACCCTTCCAGCATTTGGTTGTTTCTCGCTTTTTCATGCCTCAGAAAGCTCTCACCTTTTTCTGTAGGTGTGTGACTGTGGGGTATAACACATGGGCAGCTAGGGACGCTGACGCTGGGGAAGGGATCCTAGCACCTTCTGAGGGTAAAAGCAGCCCTAGTGAGCAGGGCTGTGTGGTTAGTTGCAGGAGCTCCAGCCCTCTACCCCTTTTATTGCTGTGCTTAGGCTAGGCTTGGCATACTGGAGGTGTGGGCCTGTGGCTTTCTCTCTCTCAGGGGAGGGTGCCCGTGGGCAGTGGAGGTGACTGGCATAGGGTGGAGGTTGGATGTGGGTAGTTTGTTTTCCCTCTATTTGGTACTGGTTTCTATTCTCTGCTGGGGCCTTCTCCACCCCTGGGACGTAGCAGGCTGAGGCCCAGGCATCTCTCTGGGGGTCACAGCTCCTGAAGGACCTTCTGAGGCAGAGCCTGTGCTTCTTTCAGCCCCACCCTGGTCATCCCTGCCCTTGCCCATCCCTGTTCTCTGGTCTATCTGGCCCTTGGCCCATTTTTGTGACCTTTAACCCCTCCTGCGGCTCAAGGCCCTCCCCAGGGAGCTGAGTAAATTTGCACTGAAGTTTGCAGGCAGAGGTAGGTTAGGCTTTTTGGATGCTCTGATAGGGGTTTGAGGAGGCTTCCAGCCTTGCCCTGTAGTGTTTGTGGGTGGTGGGCTGGGGGATGAGGTTGTAGTAGTGGGGATTGAAGTTTGGTTCAGTTTTAAACTCCTCAGGGGCAGAGTTGAGGTGGCTGTGGTTCTCTCTTCTCTGGGAGCATAGGTGGGTTCCAGAGGGTCCAGGCTGGACTGACTGAACTGGCCTCCCATACCCCAAAGGCTGGGTCAGGATTCCTGGGGTCTGCAGTGATGGCTTTCTGGGCCTCAGCCTGGATTATGGAGGCCTCACTTTGGGTCAGCTGCTTCTTGGGCCTCACCTTGAGAGAGGCAGACCTCTGTGTGGGTGTGAATTCACCTGAATACTTGTGGACCTGGGGCATGGGCTGGGCCCACAGGGAGGACCTCAGAGCATCTTCTGGCAGAAGTAGCAGGTATAAGGGGCAGCCTGGCTGTGTGAGGACCGAAGAATGTGCAGTTTTGGAGACTGTGGGGCCGTGGTTGTGTCTTTGGGGAGCTGTGTACTGGGGCCTATGCATGCAATTTCTGAGCTGTGTTCATTGTGTGGGGGAGTCCAGGTGTGGAGAGATGGTATCTCCAGGCTCCCTCTCCTCACATGCATGCCTGCACACACACAGGCTGGGGCTGCAGTTGTGCTCTCGCCCACCCAGATGTTTTCTGTAGACCTGCAAGCATGAGTTTCTGCAAGCGTGTGGTGTGTATTTGTGTGTGAGGGTCCAACTGTAGGAACGATGAGGTTCCGCTAGCCCCTTCTTCCTTTGCATGGTTCCCCCAGCTCCAGTTCCCATTGTGTGGGGCCCCATAGGAGCGGTGGCCAGGGGGAGGGAGCGCAGGGCCAGGGTGGCAGCTGGTCCAGTGGGTGGGGCCCTGTTCCTCTGACATCAGCCCTCAGCCTAGGAGGGAGTTGTCAGGAGCCTGGGGAAGGAAGGGGACTCTTTATTCAGGTGTGAGGAGAGGCCCTATGATTGTCATAATGAGTAACAGTAAAAATCGTGGTCATTACCAGATTTTACTCCTGGGGCAACTTCCCCTCCCTAGCCCAGTACCTGTACCCTCCTGCCCTCTCTCCCTCAGTTCCACACAGGCTGGCTGCCTGGCTGGCTCAGCTGGGCCAGAAGTCCTGGCCTCTTCCACAGTGTCCTTGGCAGGAACTCCCCCTTCCCAGGCCTGGTCCTCAACCAAATGCTGGCCATGTGCATGTCCCCAGGACTCCAGGTTTGAGCCTGGAGTCTGGGGCGTAGAGCTTGGAACCTAGTGTATCCTGAGCTTGGGGTGGAGTGGCAAGGTATAGGGGGTGTTAGTTT